CAGTGGTTTCAAGGTATCCTGCCCTTTCCTAACTGCTCTGCTCAAGTTTTCTCAACTATAAAACAGAGCTAATAATAACATGACCTCATAGGCTATTAGGAGGATTTAATGAGTTAATATGCATAAAATAAAAACAGTGTCTGGCACAAAGTGCTCTGTAAGTGCTCACCAATACTAATACAATTGGGATGTGTGAATTGCTAGGGCTCACATAGGAAGGAAAAATTAATCCTCCTTAGAGAAGCCTATGAAGCTTTCTCTAAACAAAGGACATCAGACTTGGGCCTTAAAGGCTATACCAGAGTTCATCAGGCGAAGAAAGGGCATTTCAGGTGTTGGAAACAGTTCAAGCTAATGGAAGACATCACACATATTTGAACCAACCAATGAACGAGACAGCCAAACCTAAGAGCTGAAACCTAGGTGGGTGGTAAGCAAAGGCCGAGGCACTATTTTAGGCCACTGGTAAACCAGTCGATCTTAAGTCTGAGCTAGCTTGATGCATAACTTTCAAGAACTAACACTAACACCACATACCAACACTTTACCAGTATGAACGAACTTTCTCCAATGAAGCGAATGTATCCAATCCAGGCCTGCTGCTCACTGGGAACCACAGTGCCGAACCACCTACACCATTTACAAAAGGACCTCCCTTAATTCTTATGACGTCCCCTGGAATCTCATCCATGGGGAAACTTGAGGCTGCTTAAACAATTTTCCAAAGGTCACACAGATGGCAGGTTAGATAGGAGGGTGTTTGGCTGCAATTACAAACAGTGTCTTCCCCTGTACAAAGCCATCTAGAGGTCGGCCGATAGCCGCTGGTTGTTATTCCTCAGGGCGACTCTCTCTCCTCCCTACCATCTTCAGTGAATCAGCCACTGACCCCATGGCTCACATGCCCTCACATTCCCTGGGAGGCTTTTTAAAAATTCAACAGCACCTCAGTTCACAAACTCAATTCTCTCCACGATTCTGGTCACAAACGGAACTAGATGAGAACTGAATCAAATTTCCCCATAAGGTCAACACTGAACCTAAGAGTCAATTTGATTTGGTTCTCATCCAACTCAGTTTGTGACCAGAATTGCAGACAGACTCAAGTTCACGAACTGAGGCACCACAGTCCTCGGCTTAGTCTAGTCCCACCGGTACAGATTTCGTCAAGCTTTACTTTTTGAAATAGTTTGAGCCAGGTCACGTGACCCACTAATGTCACAGATGGGAAAAGAGAAATTCGCCCCTAGCAAACTAAAAGCTAATTAGCTAAAAGAGGTTGGAATTCAGTGTTTCCATGATACCAATTTAATGAAGACTGCTTATTGTCCACCAAAATCTGTTCTCTGCTTCTTTCTGGGCACAGGCTGGCCTCCACTTCCGGCTCCTGGGCAGTAGGTGTGTGGTCAGATGCTGGCACGTACTGCAGGGCCCAGGCCTCGGGCCTCCTCCCTGCACCCTTTCCCTTCCCACCTGCCGGGACCAGAGATGACCCAGCCTCAAGCACACAGCTAAGGACAGTGCTCCGGAGGGCAGGGACGCAACACGATACAAAGGACCTGTGTCCCTGGATGACCATCTGGAGCAGGACTGCCCCACTGACCTGACTGCTCTCGGAAAGGCTGGCTCCGCTCGGGGCTGCAAGACGACTTGATTGGCTTTTTTTTTTTAAGCCGCCATATTGCTGAGTCTCTTTGTTAGAGCTCAGCCTTTTACCCTAATTAACCACGCACCTTCCTTTATACATATTCAGAATAGCTTTACAGATGACCAGCTAGCCCACATTTTAGAGACAGCCCTATAACCTCTCAAGTAGGTTTCAATCAAATGAGATTCCACCCAAAAATGAATGTATCACCTTAAAAAAAAAATACTGGGATTAAACCCAGGGCTTTCACATTGACCTACATCCGCCCCCCCTTTCCCCAGACAGGTTCTAAATTGCTAAGTTACCAGGCCGGGCTCAAACTTGCAATCCTCCTGCCTCAGCCTCCTAGACTGCTGAGATTACAGGTGTCTGGCTCCAAGACTATTTAATGATTAAAGCAGATCACTTACATAGAGGGTTATGTAGTTTTTATGCTTGATATTTCTTAATGCTGGGAACATAGTCACTACGTCCTTAAAAGCTTGCTTTCATGAGTGAGTGAATGTGTGTATTACTGTTGCTGATGGCTTTTAATGTGCTGTGTGTGGTTTTTGTTTTTCCCTTTGCTGAGGACTGAACCCAGGACCTTGTGAATGCTAAGCAGGTACTTCACCACTGAGCTATATCACCAACACTCATGGTTTTGTGTGTGCGTGTGCACACTAAATTATTTTAAGTAACAAAACCCTCTTTGTTGAATGTGGAACTGAGGCTGAGCATAAAAATAATGAGTTAGAAAAGATCAAACCATGTAGGCTATCCAACTCTCTCTTCAGAGTCAAAATACTTAATTTCTTAACACTGCCAGAACTGCTGAAAATACCGAAAGCCTAATCAAGACTTCTGACAGAGGGAGGCAAACTTAATAGCTCACTGAGTATTGGAAATAATTGCCAAAGCCATTTAGACAGAACTGTGGTGATGGCCCACACTGGGAGCCAGGGCCCAAGGGCTCTGCTCCTCCGGAGATTAGCTGAGGCCGATGGTGCAGACCCGCATTCCACCCTCACGCCACACTGAGCAGAGCCCAGAGCTGCTCTTGATGGTCTCTCCCAACTATCACAGGAGATTTAGTGTGAGATTAGTAGTCAAGTGAAGAGGTGGCCCGAGGTCTGTCCTGGCTTTGCCTGGCTTGCTCTGTGACTGTGACACATCCATGTTCTGGGCCTCAGTTTCCCCATATGTGTAAGAATGGTTTAAGGATTCTTTCAACTCCACACGGATGACAACACAAGGCAAAAACCAACTTTCCTCCCCTATATGCAGCAGAGCCTTTCAGAGACTGGCAGAAGGAAAACCTGCACAGGGCGATGCTCAGAGCTGGCACACAGCAGATTTCTAGCGTGTTCTTCCTTCGCAGGCTCTTCATGGCTGGTGAGGGATTCCATCCCACTGCACTGCCAGTGTCTGAGGGGAACACACACTGGGCTCAACCACATGCAGCACTGCAAACTTAGCCAGTGCACCAGAAATGCCACAGACGTAGTAATGAGCCAGCGAGAAGCTACTGCTCCAGATCTTTCAGATGGAGGATTAAGGGCTTTCTGAGGTAAGATTATTAAAACTTGTTTTTCCTGTTTGTCTACTGAGACTTTTTAAAGCTTTAAAATATATTCAGCAATGAGTGAAGAGCATTTCAGAGACTACACTTCCTGACTAAAAACAGCCAGTTTAAAACAGTGCTCAACCGTGGATGGGCTTCACTTCTGCCCCACTCGGCAGCTGGCTCACTGCATTTTGCTGGGCCTCGGTCTCCCACCAGTTTACATCAATGGAAGCAGCCTCTTCCCCGGACTCTGGGAGGAGGTAATGTGTCTGAAGTGCTGGCGCCGCTGGGCTCACAGTCAGCACCCATCTCCGCACCCAGGGAGAAGATCCGGCTCCCCACCCTGCCACCTCCTGAAGCAGCTAATAAACTGACGGGGAGATCAGATCACAGACAAAGACAGAGCAGACATAAGGGTGTTTTTTTCTTTGACTGCAGAATAAACTTATTCTCAAGAGTTGAATCAGTGAAAAAGGTGGTCAGGCTCTAAAATTCAGCATTGCTAAAAGGTTAACGTGCTGGGAGTGGTGGTGCACACCTGTGATCCCACCACTCTGGGAAACCAAAGCAGGAGGATCTCAAGTCTGAGGCTAATGTGAGCAACTTAGAAAGACCCTGTCACAAAACAAAACAAAACTAAACTAAACAAAAGTCAATCTATGTGGTTGCCTGAGCACAAGTAACAATACACTTAGCAAAAATTGCTTTTTTAAGGTCTAGCAGAAATGTTCCTTTTGCTATGATTCCTTCCCCTCTCTCAACTGAAATTCTGCTTTTCCAGCGTCTGACAGTCTACCAGCCTGACTGTTTATGCATACAAAGGAGATTTACGAGCTTCCAGAAAGCAAGAATCACACGTCATCTCTGCATACCCTCTAGCCTAGTTCAGGCCCTCTCATATAATAGATTCTGAACAAATAAATGGGTGGGGAGTTATTACTCAACGGGTACATTTAGAATGATGGAAAAGTTTTGGAAATGGTGATAGTGGTTGCACAATACTGTGAATATACAATGCTACTGAACTGCACATCTAAGGATGCTTAATTTTATACTACATATTACACATACATAAATATTTAATATTGCAGGTAGCTCAGGTCACTCCAGAAAGAAGGCTTCAACTTGAAGTAACAAATCTCCAATAAAAGACTCTCTCTGGAGATCTTCCAGGAATATAAGTGCACAATATATGTCATAAACTACATACACCAACACAGCTATGCAGAATGTCAAATTTGAGACAAAACTACCAAGTTGATAACAGTGTAAACTGTATATAAATTAGACACAGACATAAATATCATTTTGTAAGGATCAAGGAAGATCTTACAAAGCTTTTATTTTAATTTGCAATAAAAATATATTTCTGGGCCTGGATTTAGGTCAGTGGCGCCGCCGCCTGCCTCACAAGTGCAAAGTCCTGAGCTCAGTCCTGGGTATCTCTCTCTCTCTCTCTCTCTCTCTCTCTCTCTCTCTCTCTCTC